ACACTGAATTATTGAATCACAATATTGCTTTAATAACTGGCAGAGCGTTTGTTTGTTATGCATAAGTCTGTGTTCATGCGCGAGTGTGTTGTGTGGCTGGGCTGTCAGTAGTCTGCTCTGGAATAATAGGACGTAATGAACTGTTTGAGTCTTTGCCTTCTCTCTTCCCAAAGGCTTTTTTTCAGCACCAGCTGTTCATTAGGCAAAATATGCAAACAAGGTCTGGCCCTCCTCCACCCCGCCCCCAACCCTCCGCCAGACCTCGCTAATCAAACATAGAGGCACGCTACACAGAGCACTCGCAATCCAGACAAATCAAAGATAGCGAGCGCTGTGAGCTCTCACAGATCTCCAGATGTGATATCTAACAAACGTTCTCAGATTTCATTGCTCAGAGGTTGCTCTTTCATGGCTCAGGAGGCTAGAAACCACTTTGACACTAACTAAACAAATCAATTTCTGACCTCAAATAGACTCGACACCAAAAGCTGTGAAAGTGGAGTTCTCAGTTGTGTTTCTTTTAAGTATCAACTTTGTCTCAAATGATGACATAGGAAAAAGTATAGAGCTGTAAAATGATGTATATATAATTCAGATAATTTGATATTGGGAGAGTTTGATAAGAAATGCTTGAGTAATACTGAAAAACTTTTGAGATAATTTTGAGACATCAAATATGCTTAATTTGTGTTTTCTCTGTCCTTTAGTTGACTTGGTGGAAATCACGTCAGGAGCCAGATTTGAACCCACGTTGATGGCTGTATAAATTGCCAGAGCATATGAGTTTGTTCATCATTTAATCTCATTATGGTCAAGAAGAAATAACTGAGATGTTTTGAGACATTAAAGATGTCTAATTTGCATTTTCTCTTTCCTTTATATGACTTGGTGAAAATCACGCCAGGAGTCGGATTCGAACTCGCGTTGATGGCTGTATAATAATTCACCAGAGCATATGAGTTTGTTCATCGTTTAATCTCATTATTGTCTAGAAGAAACAACTGAGATGTTTTTGAGACATTAAAGATATTTAGTTTGGGTTTTCTTTTTCCTTTAGTTGACTTGGTGGAAATTGCATCAGGAGCCGGATTCGAACTTGTGTTGATGGCTGTATAATTTACCAGAGCATATGAGTTTGTTCATCATTTAATCTCATAACAGTCTAGAAGAAACGATGTTCTTGAGACAATAAAGATGTCTACTGTAATTTGGGTTTTCTCTGTCCTTTAGTTGACTTGGTGGAAATCACGTCAGGAGCTGGATTCGAACTCACATCGCTCGCTGTATGATTTAATGGAGCATGTGTGTTAACTGCTAGACCACGGCCACGAAAAGTCACTGCTCCGTATCTATGTTATATATATATATCATATCATTTATTATAATTTATCGCCTGTAATTCTCTTTACATAGTTTCGATACATAATCCTCTGATAAGCTGTGAACTCTTTGGAAAAGTTCTCCTGCTCACGAGTCCTTGTGTTTGAGCTGTCACTACAGTTAGAGATCACTTTGTTGAGGAGAGAGGGTGGAGGGAAAAACATAGAATTAAAAATTAAACTCAAGCCTTACTGACAGGCGGACAGAAGCATATTTATTTATAAGCAGTTTAAACATCTTCTGGAAGTGTGTGTGCAAGTGCTGGAGCCGAAGACAGAATTAAAGGTCCTCGTGTGCAGAAAACTTCAGCTGAGCCTGAGGCGTCCATCCAGCGATGTTCCTCAGAGACGACGGAGGTAAATCATACATATCTTCTGCTTTCCCTCCCTGTCCGTCTCTCTGTGTCTCTCATCCCTTCTTCACCGCGATGACTCGTGCATGCTTAACCAACCATTTTATTTATTCGTTGACCACGCACTTGATAAGAAGTCTACAATTGATTATTCTGGCCACATTAGTTTATACCTAAGCGTAATCTATTTTTAATGGAGTGGCCGGGGCAGTCGATAGCACTTTAAAGGATGTTGATCCACACTGGCAAAAAGGCCTGATGAGATCTACGGGGAGGCATGGAGGAGACTGCAGCGGACGCTCACCTGTTGCCCCGTGACCAGGAGGATGGAGCCCTCTTTGGCGTGCATCACCTGCCGGAAAACATGGTCCAGGATGAGGAGTTCACTCCAACAGTTCTGGAGAAGCTTCATTTGGTCATCAACCTGAGGAGAGACCAACAAATGTGTAAGAAGTAGTAATTTGGTGGGCATGTAGGTGGGCATGTTCAGAATGGTTCAAAGTATTGAATTTAACCTTGATTAACTGGATAATCTTTGAAAATGTTTAAAGGGATAGTTCACCCAAAAATTTAAATTGTCATTAATTACTCACCATCATGTCGCTCCAAACCCATAAGACCTTCGTTCATCTTCAGAACACAAATTAAGATATTTTTGATGAAATCAGAGAGCATGCATCGTGGTACTCTCATGAATGGTGGCGGAGACTGCCCCAGTTGAATAGTGTTGTTATTTTTGTTTTCTTTGCGCACAAAAAGTATTCTCGTAGCTTCATAAAATTATGGTTGAACCACTGATGTCACATGAACTATTTTAAAGATGTCCTTACTATCTTTCTGGACCTTGAACGTGATAGATGCATTGCTGTCTATGCAGGGTCAGAAAGCTTTTGGATTTAATCAAAAATATCTTCTTACTATCTTTCTGGACCTTGAACGTGATAGATGCATTGCTGTCTATGCAGGGTCAGAAAACTTTCGGATTTAATCAAAAATATCTTAATTTGTGTTCCGAAGATGAAAACAAAGGTCTTACAGGTTTGGTACGACATGAGGGTGAGTAATTAATGAGACAATTTTCATTTTTGGGTGAACTATCCCTTTAAGTTTTGAGTGATTTCAAACCTTTTTGGGTAAATTGTGTTGTTCTGTAGCAACTGTCCTTATCTGAATCAATATTTTTAGCATATTTAGAGTTATTAAAAAGTTATTTTAAATTGTAATAACATTTCACAATATTTACTGTTTATACTGTATTTTAATCAAATAAATACATTTGTGTTCCGAAGATGAAAACAAAGGTCTTACAGGTTTGGTACGACATGAGGGTGAGTAATTAATGAGACAATTTTCATTTTTGGGTGAACTGTCCCTTTAAGTTTTGAGTGATTTCAAACCTTTTTGGGTAAATTGTGTTGTCCTGTAGCAACTGTCCTTATCTGAATCAATATTTTTAGCATATTTAGAGTTATTAAAAAGTTATTTTAAATTGTAATAACATTTCACAATATTTACTGTTTATACTGTATTTTAATCAAATAAATACAGCCTTGGTGTGCATAAGAGACTTCTTTCAAAAACATTAAAAAAAAAATTATTCCAAAATTTTGACCAGTAGTTTAGAAACAACTTTTCACAATCGATCAATCTCAGATGGATAAAATCAATTTAACATCAAGTTCTGTTGTACATTTTTGTTTCTCATTTAATATGCCAAATATGCCACTTTATGGAATTAAAAAGGCTTACAAATGTCGTTTCTTTTTGATTTTTCAGTCACAAAAGTTGTTGTTCAGTCATTTGAGTGTTATTTCAACCTTCGGCACTTGTGTCTGTGTGTTAGTAGTCAGTAGGAAATCAATATTGGTCTTTAGGTCGCAAGAGGTCATTCTCGTGTGAACTTCACCAAATGTCACTGTTTTTCACCCGCTGTTAATTAATCTGTTTGTCAAGCGATACAGCTTCATTTATCCCTTGTGATTAAGTAGCGTGTTTAGCGTTGCGCAGTTGAAACACTCTCACACAGGAGTTAAACGGCTTCAACAACGCATTCATTGTCACCCTTCTTGGGTTCTCATGGCTCCCTTGGTCAATTATTAAACGTACGAGGTGAAAAGAACACTTTGAGTCCGATGTCGGCAAGAATGAGGAAAATTCGTGAAAACGAGTCCCCGTCTGACTATTCCTCAAATGGCTACATGTTGATTCTCAATTCACTCATGAGAAACGTTTACAAAAGGGTGATGAAAATACAGAAATGTAATGATTATGAATTCTCATGAGAACAGCGAGCCGTGAAAATAATACTTGTGGTTTCTCAAGGCAAAGATAACGTGAATGAAATGCCTCTTGCTATCTTGGGAGGCTCCATCGATATCTGGTTCGGATTGTTTTGACTGCTTGCGGTTCTTGTTTGTGCTGCTCTCATAGTCATAACAAATGCTACGAAATCAATTGAAAGAATGGATTTCCAAATCCGGCAAAGCAAAAGCCCCAGAAAACCAATCAAATCTCTTCTTGTTTGGCATCATTGCATCACTTATATCAACTCTTTTACTGTACAATCGATACTGTATGGCCTAATTTCATAAAATCTCCAGGTTTGAAATACTAGGGCTGCAAGAAGCAAATATATGCATTTGGCATTGTTAACACGTTTCATGTTTCAATTCATGCAAGCCAAAAATGCCCATTCTACAAAGAAACCTGTCATTTAGTCTGTTTTTTGACAGGCGTTCTCATCAAAGGCCTTGCTCCCACATGAGCCTCTGATGCCCGGCGCTTTTGGGTCATCAAACAGGGACGAGGGTGCTATGAGTCAAAGCAGGGGAAGACACTGCAGACCGGGGCCGCTGCCAGAAATACGTCAGATGGGCAGAGAAGGCATCTCTGACCTTTTAAAGTGCGTCTGACACCGCTGTTTCCATGTCAGCTCACTTCCCTTTGCACTGTCACAGCTATGTGTAACTTGGCTCTGAAGTGCACTTACGACAGGCAAGTTACGTCCTCTAACACTGGAGGTAGTGACTTTGTAGGTTTGATACACAGTGGCTATCAAATGTGATCAGCATTCACACTTTTCTGTGTAAATCATTTGTAGAAAATGTTTACTAATTACGTATTTTTCTAAATTTTAACATGGAATTCAATACAAAAATGTAGTAATGTTTTTTTTTTCCTAACAATCTCAAATACCTACAAAGGTTGCTGTTTATTGGGCCTCTTTCACAAAAAAAAAGTAAAAAAATAGTAGAACAAATTTCTGTGTAAAATTTTACAAATATTGTTCATTTTATTTACTATTCTTAAAACTGAATTTGAATGCAACAATTTAAGACAGAATGTTTTTACAATTTGCACAGAAAGTATGATTGACACAACTGACACTCAAATACTTACAAAAGTTTTCATTTATTGGGCCTCATTAGCCAAACATGAGCAGAATGAATTGTGTAAACTGATTGTAAAACTACTTGTGCTATTTTTAAATACTATTAACTCTGAAAATTTGACAATTTACTGAAAAAAAAAAAGTTTTGACGCACTATTTACATAAAAAAATAGTGCCTTTATTGTTACAATATACAATGGCTATCAAATATGTACGAAAGTTTATGTTTATGGGATCTTGTTCGTGAAATGAGTAGAATTAATTTGTTTCGTAAAACTACTTTTACTATTTTTAAGTAATATTCAAACTATTCCTAATTGAATTTGCCAATTTATGAAGGAATGATTTTACAAACAATTTGCAAAGAAAATAGCATCACTGTTAAAATATACAGTATCTATCAATTACATTGTACGAAAATCTTGACAATTTTAGGTTTATCATTCAGGATTGGGCTTATTTTCATCATTTTGGCTTGATCATTTTAACAATTGTGGGTTAATCATTTTTACAATTTTGGGTTTATCATTTTGATAATTTTGGTTTTATCATTTCGACAATTGTGGGTTTATCATTTTGATCATTTTGGGTTTGTCATTTTAACAATTTTGTGTTTATCATTCATGAAACACAAGAAGATCAACTTTTTATTTAGTTTTTTTACAAACAGTTTACACAGGAATGCATTGTGCTAATGTGTATTAAAATTATAATATGTATATATCACCCAGCAACCCTGGAAAATATGCTATATTTGAATGTTTTACACTGTCATACAGTTGATGTGATTAGTATTTTTTTTTCCTGCGTGGATCACAGGAATAAACTCAGGCAGACTCACAGATTGTAAATTCAGCTGTATAATCATGACAAGCTAAAAATAAAATGGCAATCGGGTGTTAATGTTTATCTAGATGAGCTGGTGGTGTAAGGTGCTGGAAAAATACCTGGAGGTCAGCCAAATAAAAACACGCTTATTGATTTCAGTCCAGAAGCATTCAATTAGGAATCTGAGCTTTTGTTTGACTGAATAACAAGCGATTAAACATCAAATCTGTTGATCTACACTGAAATCTCACAATACACAAATTCCTCTTGCATCCCTCAGCAATATAAGGTGTGCAACAGCTAAAACTCAGATTTTTGCGTTTATTCATGTGCTGTGCTTCCAAATGTTCAAAATCAGAGCTTTTACTTTTTCTCTTATGATAAAAAATGCATATCCTCCAAGAAACCAATTTAATTTTTTACGGTCATTCAGGCATTGCTAGATCAATGTAGCGATCAATTGCTGAGCCCCCATCCTGCTCCTAAAGAAGACCCTAAGACCCTGTCTGCCTCAACGGCACGTTGAACGACATTAAGGATATTGCCAAATGAATGTACCATGATTATTTGCAAAAGTTTTTATTTTTTAATTTTTAATGTAAATTATGTGCAAATATGTCTCGTTGCATATCCAAAAGTAATATTTATTCATCACTGCCTGAAAGGGTTGATCGGTGATAATAGAATACACTCCAAATTGCCAAATACAAGCTTTTTTTTTTTTTATCCCACACGGTTTTGGTGGAGTGCCACAAGCATTGTTAAGGCGCGAGTAACGAGCTTACGCAGCTGGAACTGCTTTTAATAAGTATGTTTTTGTTGTTTTTGAAGTGCCCTAATGAACAGATTAATAGAATCTCCTTGAGTGCCCATTAATGAACAGAATGAGACGAATGATTTATTTACAACTAAAGGCAGGCTGTGAGTGTGCGGTCCACAATCAAATTTGCATAAACACGAGGAAGGGAGAAAAAAAAGATATGAGGGGTAGAAAGAAAATAAATCCCATCCGAAATCTTTTGACCTCTTGGATGTGGATCAGTGTTGCTGGTCGGTGAAACTACAGGTGAGGTTTGAAGTGCACTTCAATGGTGCTGTCAGGCGGTGAGCTTGGAGTTGTCTTCTGTGGACATCTGTTCGCACGCTGCTACACGCACTTCTTTTCTGCCAGGCTGACAAATAGTATTTGATGTTGGATGTTTCCC